CGCCGCTGCTGCTGCTCCGCTCGCTGCTGCTGCGCTGCCTGCTCCTCGCTCCTGCGCTAAACATAGCGCTCCAACGGCACTCTGGTGCCGACCTTGCCGCACCGTATCGTCTACCGGTGGGTCGATCCTCGAAGTGAGGCCGGACCGGTTCTTTATACCGGTGGGCAGAGGCCGGCCTCACTGCTGCGAGGCCTGGCCGTGCCCTGAACCGTGGACGGTTCAGCCCCAACCGGCGGGCGGCAGCCTCAAGAGCGCCGCCAGGCCCAAAAGGTAATGTCGTTTGGGCCTGCCCGTCGGGTCTGGTCCAAGGTGAGGCCTTTATGGCCTGTAGTACCCCAAGATCGGGCCTTTAGGCCCTGATGTGTCCCTCTAGCCCTGAGTCGGGTCCGGTAGGACCCGTGTGGCGTCGAAGATGTAACACAAGTACAAGAAGAGGGAGAGAAGAAGGAAAAAAAACGACCGAGCGTGATGGTGCCGTCATCGCCATGCACCCCTCTACTTCTATCCACATGCCAAAGCCACATATCACCCACGTCGACATCTGATGTGCCGTGGCTTTTCCATCCCTGCAGCACGCTGCCGGACACCACCGCCTCCGGGCCCTCCACGACGCTGCCTGCAGCAAAACCAAAAAGCACGAAAAGAACAGATTTCACGAAAGCCATGGCAGTGATGGCACAGCTGGTACGATCAGAAACAGGAGCATGGCAGCATGGGCGGTCTGAGACTGAAACCACCATGTTGTCACTGCAGCACATGGCTATGGCGCCCATGTAAGCAGCCATGTGCAGTAGGCTAGTAGCAGCTCGCCATGGTGCGTCCGCTGCAGCCCTCTTGGTCGACCTTTCAAACTCTTTTTGATCCAACTCAATCGAACGAGATTGAACTGGCGCTGCTGCCACTTGGTGGCCTCGGTGGCCTTGGACTTGTACGAGTCGTACAAAACCCAATTGTCTCGGTATTTCTTACCGTGAAAACCAAGCCAAGGTTGATCGATTCTCAGGGAAGTACTTTACGCGCCGTCGGGCATGGAAAAGGGCAACGCCATGATTCGTTATGGGTTTCCTTGCCAGATGCGTGGCGAGTGTTCGTCCTCGCCCCCATCTCCAAGCCGTCTACACGAACATGGATGCATCGGGAGACGACCTTGGGCAGCACACTTTACAGTTCTTCGCGCGTCAGACACGCATCCGAACGAGTTTCGGGACCAGACACATCCACTGCGCTGCGCTGTGGAGTCAAGCACGGAGCACAGAGAATGTGAGTGCATCCCAGCTCGTTTTTTCGGACCAGATACGTGCACGGCGCCGCGCAGTGGAGTCGAGCAGCGAACAGGAATCACACGCACGTACTGCGGAGTGGAATCGAGTGCTCGTTCACCTCTGCGGACAAGCGGACACTGGGGTGCAACAGGCGGAACGGCGGCGGAAGCAGGCGGAATACATGCGGAGGATAGGTGAAAACAAGCGGGAGGAGGGAGGTCGACCGATGCGGAAATCAAGCGCCCTGACATTACCGTGGCGCAGGCGAAAGACAAGACGAGGACGGAGAGGGGAAAAAAAATAAAAATAAAAAAATTCGTCTGACCCCAATTTGCCCAAATCTCCCATTTTTATTATTATTATTTTTTTTTAAACCATACTCTTCTCTCAATTTTTCCTCACACTACTCACCTACCACTACTACTACCTATAGGCATACAGGGAAACCCGTAGCATACCAGAGCCGTGTTTTTACGGCCCCTCGAGGCTGCAGGATACCGGCCAGGGGACGGCCGGTAGCACCAGGGATAACGCGGACCAATCCCCCGTGCCTCCCCTCAGGCCCCTCCCCTACGAACATAGCAGACTCTGCTTGATGCCGATCGGGGAATCCAGTGGTCTATCTCTTGGGTAGCGGGTGCCAAGTGAGCCCAGGAAGGCATGAGGCCAGTGGGGATTGAACCCATGACCTCCTGAATGCCACTTGCGAGCCTTACGAACTGAGCTAGGCCGCTGGATAAATCTCCCATTTCGAACTGTTCGGGCGCCAAAATTTTCGTCTTCTATTTTTCTCATCAGTTTTCAATTTTAAATGTTAATTCAGAAAAAGAAAACGAATTTGGGGTGACCTCCCCAGTTTACCGCAAATCCTCCCCTCGCCCCGTCGCAGGCCGCTGACAAATGGGCCACCTAATAAAATGGGGTGACTACCCCTCTACACCTTTTTTTGAGGCTTTTGGGAATCTAGGTTCCAGTGCGAGCGTGCCCTGAGGGCAATACTCACACTGGAAAGGGCCCATTTGAGGTTTCGGCCATGGTTCACGTCACACGGCTGCACCTTTTCAGATGGGACAAGGTCGCAGCCGTCTGGAGAAATGGGGATTTGGTACTTGGCTGGTCACACGGGCGCCATCCACAAATTGTGCAATAACTTTTGTGAACGAATTTTTGCCAATTTTTGAAGAAAATGCAAAAAAGAAAAAGGGCATTTGTGGTCACCTCCAGAGGTGACCGCAAAATCCCTTGCCCCACGGCCTCTTCCCAGGCCGCTCACAAATGGGCACCGGAATAGTACATTTGCGAATTTGGTAGATCCGTGTGTGACCGGCCTTTTCCCCTTTTTTTTGGGATTTCGGGATTATAGGTCCCCGTGTGAGTATGTTCTGAAGCCTACTTAATTGAACCTAAAAGTGTCACCCTATTAGCTCCTCAGGGTCCCTTCGGACTTGGATAAAGTCCAGATCAGTGACTATCCAGTGAACGTTGCCGGGGCCGGTCAGTGCACGGTGGCGACCGGCCAAACCGTGACTGCGGGGTGTTTTTTTGTTTTTTTTGCCCGCCACTGTCCCCACGAGCCCCACAACGCAATGAAAAAAAAAGAAAAAAAAAATCGAAATAAACTATAACACAACAAACAAAAATGCTACTGCGGACGCATTCCCTGATTTTTTGTCCTTTTTAATTAGAAAAACTATTCGTTAAAGAAACTACAAAAAATGGGCGGATACCCTGTGAAGGGTGGTCCCACTAGCAAAGAGGATCGGATAGAATGCCTGAATCTGGACGAGTTTATGGAGATGTGCAGGAAATTGAGATTGAACTGCTTTTCTGCATCTGTGCGTAAACACAACCAGATTCACGAGCTCTATCCTATCCTTTTTGCTAGGGGGACCTCGGCCCAGATGACCCCCATCCTCCTTAAAAAAAGAAAGGGGTAACTACGGCGCAGTCACAAGAATAATTTGTACATGGACTTAAAACTGCGTTTTAGCAGTTCAGTCAGGGGCCGAGTTTGAAATGCAGTTGCAGATTTCATTATAAACGATGGAAAGGAGGCCGGGAATCCCTCCACACAACGACCCGAAGAATGGGAACTAGGGCCATTACCCAGTTGGGCCAGTGCTGGAAACCGGGTCCAGCGTCACACCTGCAGACGGATTGAAAATAAGGGGAAAACTGGACAATTAAGTAGAAAACAGTCAAAAAGGGAAAGAAAATGGCTAATAGCTACCTATTTTCTGATTTCT